TTATCAGAATTTTTTACACCCTTCAATGAAAGATCAAGTTACTCTGAATGTTAAGTCAAAAATTGGTTCTCTTTCTATATATATATATATACACACACACACACATAACTTTGTATTTAAAAATGACCATAGTAATCTTTCCCTGTTCTTGTGGACGTAAAATCGGTCCCTTCTGTTATGCAACTTGGCCACCATTCTCAATGATGAGATGGCTAAATGACTGATAGGTGTTGGCCATTGCGTTAAATTGCAAGTGTCTGGCCACTTGAAAACATCATCATCATTTTTCAGTCATCCCCGTTACAAAATTTGACCTTTCCTAAAGATTTGTAACATTAATGGTCAGTGGTACTTGGGTCAAGTTAAGAGTATTTTTAAACTTTCACAGAGTTGCCAACTCTCCCGATTTTTCGACCGCTCTCCCGCCAACCCGATTTACAATATATTTCTCCCGACTTTTTCTTATTCTTAATATTTCTCACGATTTTTATGGAACTTGGCTTAATACTTCGTTATATGAACAAACAAACAAACAAACAAACAAACAAAAAAAAAAAAAAAAGTGATTTTGGACGTCTGAAAGCAACTGAATTTTCTCTAGATTATATCTAAAATGAAACCTTGCGAATCAGATGAGAATTTCTGCTTTGTAATTGACAGCATACGTATCCAGCAACGTCGTTTCTCCAGCTGTCCAATGGGCATCGAGCTCCACTGCGTGTCATCTGGCATATATTAGCCAATGAGCACAAAGGCCGTTGGCCGTTCTTTGGATGTTCTTCCGCTATTTCGTTCATCTTGTCCTGAGTTGTGTGAGTACACGTGCCTTTAGGAAATAGTTTTAGAAATTATCGTCTTTTGATATGTCTGCGAGAAAGGTGAAATACTCGTGCACGTTTCAAAAATCGTACACTGTTGACTTTCCTTCCATTATTTCTTCACGGAAATGTAATAAATTTGCGATGTGTACCATCTGTCGTTGCGATTTTTCGATTTCGCTTGGTGGAAGGGCAGATGTTCTCAAACATGTGCGTACACAAAAACACAAGGACAACATGAGTTGTTTTGAAAAAACGAAAAATTAAATTTTTCTTCGGAAACAAAAGACCAAAAAGTGATTAATGCAGAATGTCTGTTTTCTGCCTTTTTACTGGAGCACAACCTGCCACTGAATGCATCGGATCACGCTGCAGCTTTATTTAGAAAAATGTTTCCCGATAGTGAAATCGCTGAGAAATACTCAAGTGCAAGGACCAAAACAGGTGCAATTGTTAAAGAAATGGGTTTGAAAAATAAATCTTCAGTTATTGATTGCATTCAAACAGCTCCGTTCTGCCTCTCTACGGATGGAAGCAATAATACCAATTCAAAACTGTATCCAATTGTTGTTTCTTTTTTTAATCCAGAGTCTTCAGGAATTGAGTGCAGTTTACTTTCTGACCCCACTTTAGAAGGACATTCGACAGGCTTTAATATAGCACAGCTAATTATTAAAACTTTAAAATAAAATGCAGTCCCTCTGGATAATTGCTTAGCGTTTGGTGCCGATAATGCACCAGTAATGGTAGGCTTGAAGACTGGTGTTGCAGGCATCTTAAGAAAGGCAAATTCAGATTGGCAGATTATGAGGTGCACCTGTCACCTCTTAAATTTAGCAGCTGAAAAAGGGGCAGCTTCTTTACCATTAAATGTGGATGAACACATTGTTGATATTTATTATTATCTTTGAAAGGAGTTCTAAAAGAAAGGAAAAATTGAAACAGTTCCAACAGCTGCATAATACTAAAATGAGAAAATTTTGATTTTTTGTAATTTCTGCATTCATCATTCAGCAATTCAACTGGCAGTTCTCAAAATAATACTGCAAAATATAAGCGTAAAGCTGATACAAATTTCTCTCAAAATAAAAAAAAAAATTACTCAACCACGAAACATTTTCCGATTACTGTAAGTTTATCTTGTGAAGAACGAATATTTATGCTTTTTTCTTCGGACCTTAAGCATTTTGCTTTTTTTTACAATTCATTTTGCCATCATTCGATGTTCTGAACACAATTCTACAAAGCAGAATTCCATTAATTCATGTTTTGCAATCAATGATTTATAATCTGTTTAAAGACATTTTATCAAAGTTTGTAAAACCAGTCTGTGTTTTGTCTTGTAATTCTATATATGATGTGATTTATGGTGAAACAGAAAATCAGAAGGAAGATGAAGATTTGGTAATAGGAGCTGCAACTACATAAGTAGTGGAAGAACTTTCAGAAGAAGACAAAAATAAGTTTTATCTTCATGTTAGAAGTTACTTCTGTCTGTCAGTATGTGATTACACACTACATAAATTTCCAGTCAACGATGAAGTGATTTTGCATGCTAAAGTTGCTGATGTTTCTGCTCTAGCAAATGCATCTTTTTTTGATATAAGGTACTTTTTGAACAGATTTCCTGTGTTACTACTTACTGTTACTTCGTTTAGTCATGAAAGATGATGATATTGATGTTGCTACTGATATACTGCAGTCACAATTTTGCAGTTTACAATTAGAAAACTTGGATGAAGTTATAAAATCAGCTAGGATTGACACCCAGTGGAGGTTAATTGGAAAATTGAAAGGTGCTGATGGAATTTTAAAATATAGTGAACTCTCTAGAATTATGTTGGCCATCTTGACAGTTCCCCATAGTAATGCGGAGTGTGAGAGGATTTTCAGTGTTGTTGCGAAAACGAGGACTAAATTTAGATCTAATATTAGTGATGACACATTAGAAAAACTTTTATTAGCGAAAGGAGGCCTATGTGGCAATTGCTATGAACAAAATTATGAAGTTTCTTTCTTAACGAGAGCAAAATCTGCCACTGTCCATAACATTTGTATGAAAACTGATTAAAGTGCCTTTTTTTTTTTTTTTTTTTTTTTTTAACGATGAAAGCAATAAAAATGTTTTTTATGTCTAAGGTATTTTTGTTTTGCTTGCATTTAAGTCTTAGTAACTATTTAAAGTTAATTCATTATTACAAACTATATTTTTATCATTTAAAGTCTTTTTAACATTGTGAAAAATCTCCTGATTTCTTAAAAAAATCTCCTGATTTTTGAGTGTCATAGGTTGGCAAGTATGCTTTCACATTAAAAAGCCCAAATGTAATGTCAGATAAGACAAAATTAGTAAATCTTCATTCATTAACTACTGTTGTTCCTTGAGCTTGTTGAAAGGGAAGAAAATTTGAAAACCAAAAGAAAATATGTAGTTTCTATTTGAGATAGAGAAGATAAAAGAGTACTCATTGCATCACAGACAATTTAAAATTTTTAAAGCATAGGAAAAATTATGAACTACCTGAAAGGAAAGCTCAACAGAATTTTTAATAAAAAGTAATCTTAATTAAAAACCACCTATTTGAAACATGTAAAAACATGCTTCATTCACTACGAACTTTTTTTACTTTCAAAAACCATTTTGCTACTTTGAAAATGATATAGTGGCTCTTGAAAGTTCCTGAGATATATATCATGCAGCTCCAACTGGTGTAAAGTTTGGCCATCCTTGTTAAGCTTATAAAAGGCAGATAGTCCTATGTTCTTTGCCTTAATCCATTAAACAAACTTATAAAAGGCTGATTTTTAATATGGAATATTCAAGTCAGAAGAATGCAAGTCGATATTTGCTGTTCAATATGGATATAAATTAGGAGAACTTATATCCATAGGCTTGTCTATTTAATTTAACCTATGAATAAATAAGTACTGGAGGAAGGATTTTTACAAAGCTGAAATTCAGGAAAATTATTTAAGATCAACAGTGTCAGAATAGTGTCTTATTATTGGTTAGTGATATCAATAGAAAATGATATCATGGTTACTTCAGATGTAAAAGATCTGATAAAAAATTCTGTAACAGCTAAAACTAGAAAAATAACTGTAATGAATGGAATACCATATAAACTCGTCCAAAATGTTTTGTAACTTTTTTGAGGTGGTTAAAGAAAATTTGTTTGTTGAAATGATTTATTTTTATTGTACTTAGGCATAACTTTTTTTATATGCTAAATAAATAGAAATTTATTGAAATTAATTACCCTTAAATTACAAATTAATATATTTTATGGAGCACTGAAAAGCAACCTTGAACAAGGTTGCCTTGTATTTGTAAAGCTGCCCTTTGGTGTGATCATGCTGCCACAGGAGTGACATCATGCCATATTTTCAGATGAATCTTTGTACGACATATAGCTTCATGATGGATTTATCTATTTGTAGAGGCACAGAAGAGAACGAATGTTACCAGCTTGCATTCATCATCGTTATGTAGGCCCAGAACCTGGTAAGATGGTATGGGCCAACATTAGATAATACTTGCCAGTCACTTCTCATTCACACAGCCAGTAGTGTGGACTGTCGTCATAACATTTCTGACATGTTACGGCCCATAACTGTATCCTATCTTCGAGCCCTGCATGACATCTTTCAACAAGATAATTCATGACCACATGTTGCTCCTGCTGTCCTGACCTTCCTTGATACAGCTACTGTTTACCTGTTGTCCTGGCCTTCTCCAGATTCTTTCTGGTGTTCACCAGATCTCTCGCACACTGAGAATATTTAGTCATGGCCAGCCACTATGATTGACGAACTCTGATATAGAGTTGAAGTCACTTAGAATGAAGTACCTGTATCTGTCATCCAATCTCAGTTTGACTTCATATCCAGCCAGATTAGAGTTGTTATTGCTGCCAGAGGTGCTAGCTCTGTGTACTGAATTCTGAACCCTCATGTCTTCCTCCCATTCTACTGTATATATACCATACATAAGTTTCTGCTGTGTTCTTTCCTATCTAGTGTAGCATATTTAATGGCCAGCAGTATATAACACACATGCATATACATATTTCTGCACAGAGCGTCATGCAGAAATGTTATTGTGAAGAATTTTTAAAGTGTGATTTAAATGTTGGATTTATAATTTTCCATGAAGTACATGATTTATTTTTTTCTTTACAGAGTCCAAGTCATGCCTCTACTCCTCCAATGGCCACACCACCATATTATCCGTACCCGGCTCCAACATACGGTCCTCCTCACTTTCAGCCACAACCTCCTAGTCATTTGCAGCCAGCTCTTAATCCACAAAATCTTCATGGAATGCTACAGCATCCTTCCCAATGTAATGGCCAGTCACCTCATGGTTGGTATCAATTTAAATTCATGTCATAAATTGTTTTCTGTTAACTCTTCAGTTACATTCTTTTCATCATTGCTTTATTCAGCATGAAACTTTGATTGATTTTAAATTTTAGCTTATATCTTTGTCAAATGCAGACTTGCAGAACACTATTTTGCTTATGCATATTGTTACATTTTTCTTTTCTTCTGACACCAATTGTTGCATTTTTCTCTTCCTTCACGTTTGTACGGGGTTTGTAGATTTGGAGTGAATAACGACAACACTTGATGAAGTATCGAAACACACTTTATTTACCAATATTAATCAGACAGCTCCAAAACATTTTTACAGTCACCGAAGATCTATAGGGTTCGTACACGTTTCCTTACATGAAAATTAAGAACTTTTAAGGACCATAAAAAAAAATTAAGGACCTATCAGCAAACAAAAAAATGAATAGAATAAAGCAATTATCCATACAACCCACTTCATGCTTGTAATTTCACTTTAAGAAACTAACAGAAGTGTGTATTATGCACTATTATTAAATTCAATTTAATACTTACCATAAAACAAATTTGAAAATTAAACTAACTCCCTACAAGTTATGAAGTAGATAACATTAAATTAGGAACATAATTTCTTGAAAAACATGTATATGTGTATTTTACACTAATAACAGTCACTGTTTTAGAGATTTACATGATTATTATTTAACTTATTTGATATTTATTTAAACGCAGTCAACTACTATTATAACCACAATGTAAGAATATTTTGCAGATTAAAATAACTGATTTGTAAACATACAATTTATTTCCTTGGTTTTTTGAAAGATACTAGAATAATAAATTGTACAATAAAAGATACAAAACATTTGTGCTTTTTTTAAATCTGAAGTCTTTTCAGCTATTTTAACATCTAATTTATTTATGTCTATTTATTTTTCTTTAACTATTCTTCTAAGTTCATTTGCTTTGATAAACAAATCAATGTTCCTGCTGGTCTCAGCTTCATCTGCTAAAGCATCTACTTCTTCATTAATATCTTTAATGTCCCTTTGAAGAAATTTTTTCTTCTGCTTCATATAATCAATTTCTCCCCAATAATATTTCTTTTCCTCTTTGAATTTTCAGATTTAGTTAAAAAGATTTTTGTTCTTCTAAATACTGAACATTCTTCTAAATAACGAACTCCACTTCTTGCAGAAGCTGCTGCTGATCTCATTTCTTTATTAATTTCGATATTAAGAACACCTCCAGAAAATTTTATGTAATCAAATACCGGGCGTTGAAAAATATATGATGAGTCACTTAAATTTTCAATTTCAATTGCTTTATTTACAGTGAAGCCCCTTTCCACAGAGGCCTGTTCATGTGACAAGATAAGAATACTTGTCGCAGTGAATACTTGAATAGTGAAAATATACATTAACTATATATATATAATTTATTTCCTAAACAATATTGATTAATTGATTATATTATCTCCTAAGTTTAATTAAAGTAGAATTATTTTAAAAGAGTGAATCCATACTGGTAAGTTATATTTTGAAAGATGTATATATATATATATATATCGGACTTTGTACTGTATATATCGGACTTAGTACAAAGTCCGAGATCCGGACATCCAATATCTGGAATGATCTAAAATCCGGACCTCAAAGCTACCACCAGCAATTTTTTAGGGCTTTTTTGAAGGGAAGGGGTATGCTTTACGCACGCACATTATATTTTTTTCCTCATCATAAAAAAACATACCGGAAATCCCGATTCTTAATCTCAGTTTGGTGCTAAATAAAATATCTCATTATTGAAGAAATAATTATTTTAGCATAAATTTGTGTGATTAGTAATTTGACTCCATAGCTGTGTACCTGCTTGGCATAATCTCAAACCGAAGCATTTGTTAATTTTACACCAACTAATATTTTATATCCTTGATGCCGAAATCGCGAATCATTATTATGTATTGTATTTTGCTTTCATCACCGCATGTTTATCAACGGATGACAACTTGAGTGATGAATCATGCAGCGACGTCATATAACAGAGTATTATCCGATTACAGATTTAAGTTTAATGCGCTAAAAATGTTGACAAGGGGAGATTTAGCAGAAATTTCTTTCCTTATGCTAAAAATAGATTTTGTTAATGATACTCATAGGACAAACGATTATATTTAGTGCTATTTGAATTAAGAATAACTGATTTGTAATTCACATAAAAGCCAGAACCAGCTGCCAGAGCTCGCATGGCCGCACCATGGCGGCAGAATTTAGCGAAGTTAAACAGAAGTTTTTCATTGCGATGACAATGCCAATCATCAATCAATTAACGGAGGGCGAAATCTGTAGTATGGTTCTAAATCCAGAAAATACAGCTACCGATAGTGAAGAAAGTAAACAGAGAGGTTACTGAACGAGAAAAAATTTTGATTGACAAGTTATTCGGAATTCTCGACACAGCAATTACAGGACTTGAACAATGGAACTTAATAACTGAACAAGAAATTATATGTCTATAGTATTAGTCTAAAGTATTAGCAGAGAAAACAAATCAAACAACTCACATTGAAAGAAATGTTTAATTATAAGTAAACATATAAATATTAAGCTCTTTTCTTTGGTAAATTTTGATACCCTTTAAATCATAATGCTTCATTATTTCATAAATTTTCAATTTTCAATTTTAAATGCCATCTAGTAGATTTAAAATGATCTAATATCCGGAAAAATCTCAAATCTGGGATCGCCGAAGTCCCGACGAGTCCAGACCTCGGACTTTGTACTATATAAATATATATAATATATATATATATTGAAAGATGTTAATTTTGTATAAAAACTTTAAACTAAAATAAAATATTAAAAAATTATAAAGGAGATATAAAGTGGGTACATAGGAAAGAGATAAATAGTGCTAATAGCTATTTAGCATATCAAATGTTGTATGATCTTATTCATTTAGTGCGAAAACAAGTTACTACTACTTGCGCAATTGCAAGTTAATATATATATATATATATCTATAATACGAATATATTTTCAGTTAAACTTCTACCCAATAACTTTAGTAATTCATGAAGTTAATTTTGCGTCTAGTTAATTCAGGAAAATTAGTTTCAATTATTGTTTTCAGCTTTAAAAATATTTAAAAATTTTTAATTAGTTAGTTATTTTCAACTAATAATTGTATCGCCATTAGCAAAAATTATGCATTACTATCAACAACATAGGTTTAAACCAAATACTTAATTAATTGTCTATTGAAGCTTCAAAACGTATTCCCGAACTTCACTTTTTCTCGGCTAGCGTTACCGATTTGCCCTTGGCGACCTAAAATCGAAATGGAGCCAACAGATTTCCCGCGAAATCGATAACAGACCCTCTGCAGAAATAAACTCATAATCCCGATATCCCATACATATAGTATGTGCAAAGAGAATAAACTCCGTAGAAGGTGATAAAAAATTAATTTATGGCTTAATTGAAACAAACACAGAAATTAAGCTAAGCAAAAACCATGTAAAAACAAATTGAAATGATAAAACGAAACTTAATTTTCATGTGAATTTTCAGCGCTGACTCTCCCATTAGAAATTTCAATTTGTTTCAGACAAAGACCACATTTAGCTTTATAAGGATTGTCATCCATCAATATCCAGTCTTTGTAGTCAGCTTGATGAAGCCACAGTTTATTGAAAATGCACTTTCCAGGCATCTCGTTCCTATTGGCGTCGGAAGGGTTGTGGCCTTCCAGGTTGGATTGCTCTAATTTTGGCAAATATTTTCAGAATCTCCCCCCTTTTTTTTTTTTTTTCTCGAGCACCTTCATCATCACTTTCGCCTCTTAAGAACTTTCGGCTTCACGCTTTCGTCACATCTGCCTAAATTTATGGATAACACCTGTTCGAAAGATTGGGTGAATAGCCAATCAGACACCCGATACTTTCGTTCGGGTAGCTAATTGTTTTTTTTTTTATCGTTTGCAATGCAAATCCGCCAACAGATTAGTTAAGAGCCGTGTAATTTTAATTCCATATTGATGAGAAATCGTAATTCACACTTAGAATGGCAATCATTAGAAATGATAAGAAATGTCAAATGAGCAAAATTAAGGACCGTTTATTCATTTTGGCCAAAATTAAGGACTTTTAAGGACCAAAAATCGTTTTTGAAAAAATTAAGGACTTTTAAGGACCGCACGAACCTTGACCTACTATAAATACACTGATACGATCAGCGACACAGCTTCTAGGTTATCAGGTTATCACGGTGGAGACAGCTTCACGGCAAAGCACTAGAGTACAGCTCTCGACTCTGCTTGGTGATTCTCGGAACTCCACTTACTCTCAAGACTCTCCACGCTACAAATCGCGATACACTCGAAGATACACAGCAAGACTCTCGGTGCATTCGACGACCCCCTCGGCACTCGCTGCCTGGCTGTCAACTCGATCGACTCCACAGGGATTGACTCACTAAATGAGACACCAACTCGATACTAACTCGCACTGTAGGCGAGGCACTCTGACTCTCCCTCTTTGACGAGACACATTCAATGACTGACTATCAGCTCGCTAGATGAGGCACACACTCAGTGACTGACTATCAGCTCGCTCGACGAGGCATATTATCTCGCACTCTATGCTAAGCACACACACTAACTGACTGAGGACCAGCAGGGTTTATGTAGTTTTCGTCTTGTGTTCGAGAACATTTCGGAGTAAACCAGTAAGATTTCGTTCCAGAAGGTTTTCCATCCGTCCATTGCATATCGCCAAATGGGTGATTTCTCACCAAATATGGCAACTCTGCCTTTCCTTGCCATTTTATGGCAACCCTAAAACGGCTTTGTGGGGAAGCCATCTTACCGCGCCTGTACATTTCGTAACAATATCATCTTAATTGTATCCATATAATATGCTCAATCCGAGAATTTCAATTATACATGGGACTCTGAAGAGTGTCAGCCACATTGCAATAGGCCTCTTTACTGTCTAACCACACTAGCAAG